AGACTAATTCCTCTATAATAAACACCTATCAACCAATAAAACTGCTATTCTTAACATCTAAAAGAACTCATGGCAATTGATTTCGGTCATCTCCTTTTGCCTAACTAATAAAATCTTTGATGCATATTTTATTTCTAGAATTCTCATACCTATCACCTCCCCCAAAATCAACTTTGGAATTATCCCCACAAGCGGTTATGAAACGCAGCAACCAATGAAGAACACCTGATCGTGCTTTGTCCAATCCCCTTTGAGGCAAAAGAATGAGGGTGTTTCGTGAGAGATTGGATTTCTAATTGCCTGCTAGCTCTTATTGGACTACAATAACCACTCCTGCTAGGCGCGAATAGCAGTGTTGTGCCTGTGTGTGTGTGTGCATGGGTTACAGCGCAACACTTTACTTTGGGGTGTTTTGAGCGATGTCAACTGTCTCCAATCATCTTGTCATTTTCACACCACGTGCTCTTACCGTCGATAATAGTGTTCCTCCCGCATTCAACGATCTTTCCGAGGCTTTCTCTCAATGGCTCGCTGGGAGAGCACAAACTGAGTTGCACCTTTTTAGTGTTGCAACCAAGTCAGTGGGTGGCAGTAACTTGGACGCCACTTTCGACAACTTCGTTCAAGCTCTGGAACTCGCTGACTGTGCCATCATCGTGTTTCCAGGACAACAGGTCTGTCTTCTTGATGCCATTTATCCGCGTCTTCTCGTCCACCTCACAATTAAGCCCTGGTGGTTCAAGCGAATGCTCCTCGTGAGCCTGGGAGAGATCGCTAAAAATAAAAAAAAATTCGACCCTATGTTGCTTTTTCACCCTCCAGTGATCTTTTCAATGTCGCCCAAGATGTGGCAAAAGGAAGAGCGGCAATGGGAAGAAATAGCTGACTTTATTCATCGTAAGCATTGAAAATGTGCAAAATTTCGCCTGTTAGAATTTCAACGAAAATGTGGCAGTTTTCAGTAGGCCTGAATTTGACATTAGCTACAGTCCTATTATCTAATTATTAATGCCAGATTCTTTAAGACAAATTTGAGACGGATTGTTTTGATATCTAAAAAAGGCACTAATTTCCAATTTTAGGCACTCATGTCATTCTACATATTCCATATCGTTCAAAAGAAACATTTTGAGTGGTAAAAAGGGAGACGCTAGGCGAGGAATCACGTGGCTTTTAAAATACATTGAGAAAAACGGCTTCAAGTTAATGCGATTGCCTAAATACTTTGTAATGTCAACCTCTATTTGACGTTTATTGTCATACCCCTTAGGTATGCAATTCGGCATTCAGCATGTAATGAAAGTGTGGTAGAGGCGTTAGATAGAAAGAAAATTCTAATACCTCGGATCAATTGACCTGAAAATACCAGTTCCATTTATTATCACTTGAACCCGGTGCCCTTCAAGTGCAACATTTACTGTACATAAAATTAAAGTATTTGAAAGCACAATGGCACACTATGAGGTCTGCAATCTAGCTAGTAAGAAGTGATATATATTTTCCAATTAAATTTTCATTCCGAAATATCTGAACAATTTCTCACGATTTCACTAGATCTAAAAGTATTTTTGAAGGAATTTCTAGTTGTACATCCTTAATCCACCTAAATTGCTAAAAATGAGAATGAACTGTAGCTTGCAACTTCCCTTGAATCCAAGTTTAACACCTCTGTGAGATTATAAGGGAAAAATTACCAATCTTTGCCATTAAACTATTTTTAAAGGATACCGACTTCCAAATGCAAATAACAATGAAATTATGATGACTGTCTACAGTAATATTCCCGAGTTTTGTTCGCGTTTATGTGCGCTGATTTCCGCAAAACGAAGTATCTAAAGTGTGTTTCACGGATCCAGACGCAACCATCCCATCGCGTCAGAGTAGGCAAAACGTTTATTGCAATCATCTTTTCATTAATATGGTTTTTCCAAAACCAGGCAAACTGAAACTATCACAATTGGGTTGAAAACTCAATTTCAGGTTTGAATTGATATGGATTGTTCAGTTTAAATTAAGTTTAACAGTTGGTCTTTTAATGTGTTTGTACAGGAATAACGTATTTTGACTTAAAATCTGATACGAATTCAGTTTTTAATAATAATAGCGCCTAAGTTAATGATGTGTCAATTTTTACACAAATTTTAAGTCAGTGTACTCATTTTACTAACTGTCTTGTTTATTTTCAGCTAAACCTAGTGATGAACAAACTGGTTCACAGCATAGTACGAATGAAGGTGTGTTTATTTGATGATAACCTACGAAAAAGCAGAGAAATACATTTTAGAAAAAAACTTGTATGCATCACGATTAGTCTTTTGTTATTTAAGAAAAGTTAGACGTAGAAGATAACGATCTGGGCAGTCAACAAGATCTTCAAGACTCCGGTTTGTATTCACGGGGTGATCACCAAAGAAAACTTATGGCATTCTAAACCTGTTTTCGACAGAATACAGTGAATTTGTTTTTAATGCTAAACAATTTATTTAGTAATCTATCAGCAAATTTCAAAAGTACTTTTGCTGCACTAATTTGACGCTCTGCTCAAGTGGGTAATTGGTTGGGCGTTTTGAGGGACTTATAACTCGCATTAGTACAAAAAAGCATTTTTGGGAAAATTTGCATGCATCAAGGGTAACGTTTCGCAATTTTAGAAAAAATGGACGGAGAGGCTGATGAGGGGGATAGCCCGCAAGATCTTCAAAACATCGGTTTGTAATCAAAGGCTGATCACTACTGAAAATTGACAGCATTTTTAAAACCCAACATCAACGTGACAGTGCTTCTATTTTTATTGTTAGACTATGTTTTATTAGTCCTTCAGCACCTTCTACAAACCTTCTTTGTCACTCTGTTTTGACATTTCGCTGAAGCAAGGTATTGGTTGGATGTTTTGAGGAAGTTGTAATGCAGGTTATCATTAAAAATATTTTGATTGCTCTCAGTAAGAACTTTTCAACAGTTTTAGAGGTATCGCAAGAAAACCAAGTCAAAACCTCTTCTGAAATTGGATTTATTAGTAAAGGTGAATCCAACTGCTAAGTTTACTCATTTTACTTTTCCTTCATCCCTCATTAATGCACTGGAACGTGCAATGGTTGACCATTGCGCTATCTCCCTATCTAATGTCCATCTTAAATTGTTTTTTAGGGTACGTCTAACTTTATATGATTCCATCTAAGCACACCTTTATAGGCCCAAAACACTTTGTCTCTTTTTTGATGCCCATCGTGACTATGCCAAAAAAGTCTTCCATCTCATTCGAATTCGAAAAGTGCTTGGCTGCACATTGCGTATCACTGCATTTAGTCTACAATGAATCTTGGCTTGTGGTGAATGATTGAGTGAAAATGCACGATGTACTCAAAAACATCTAGCTTTTCCATCTTTTCAACCGATTTCATTAAATCCTAATTTTATAGAAGAACATCACTCTTCTGTTGTGGATGCGGAAGACGATTATCAATGCGAAAGTGAAAGTAAGATGTTATCTATGAAAGATAAGACCTGTACATGTTTATTAGATGAAGACGGCAAGTTCATTGATTGACGCGCAAGAAAATGCCTTAGAATGAGATCAATATAGGCTACAAATAAGAAAATTCTGTAATCCTTGTTAAGTGCAATGATTAGGATTTGTGAACCTTCTGCATGACTGGTTAGAAACACCAAATTTGCTATTTGTCTCTAGAAACTTCACTGCTTATTCTTTAGTAAATTATTATATTATTAGCCGAGTATCTGACAACGTCAAATTCATTGCACAGATAAACAAGCTTCTCAAAGCCAGGTAATCATTAACTGAGTGCATGCATTGTTTAATATAGCACAAAGTGCTCAAATTTTTACAATTTCCTGGCTTAATCAAAAAGGTATTTAAAGTGAAAGTAGAATCACATCAACACAGGTTTAAAATAACAACATGTTGGTTACATCGGCTTCTACGCAGAAAAAGGGACTACTTCTACTTTCCTTTATCCTCAGTGGACCCAAGAATTTACGAAGAGCTTGAGATTTCGATGGAAAAGCCATGGGAAAAGAGCCTCACTTGGAGGGAAATGGGTGCTGCTGCAACTTCAATACTTTTAATTGCAGCTATTTTTTCTTTTTTGAAATCACGATCTAATTCTTAATTGCTTATCCTTCCCTACCATTACCACCATTAAAGGAAAGAATCAAGTTGTACCACTTCCAATACCATGACACTCCGTCTTTTGTCCTTCTTATGTCAATTCATCTGTAAAATAGCGACCATTAATGACAATTATTCTCCCCTCAGTTTATACTCCATTAATAATTACTGTTAATTTTAGTAGAAGCTACGCTAATTTTGGTATTAAACTTTAAGATACGCTTTGGTATTTCATTATTTAAAAGCTCTCGGCCTAGTAGAACGGACTGTTAATGCATTTCACGCGCAACCATAAGCGATTGTGTGTAATGTCGCCGTTTGGCCCGCAAACAAGGTATAAGTCATGTGACGCAGGTAAGAATAGTGTCTGTCTATGAGGCCTTGACAGGCTACCTTTTGGGAGTAGGAAACATACAATTGGGGGTCAGAATGGTTTATTCCGTTGATTTGCCTTATTTCTCTTCATTACGAGTCTTCGCATTACTCCGTATTATAAAGGGCTTGCGGTGATTATAACTACTGTGGTTTTCGGATTTGACAACTTATGTGATGTGTTTTTATCCCAAGCAAATATACCCGTTTTCATAAAGGTTCTCTGTGACTTCTGATCCTATTTATGGGGATGAAAAATATGTTTTTGAGTTAAAAAATCACTTCTATGAATCCTATTTATTTTGTCAATACAAAACTCATCACTTGAGGCTTATGTCGTGATAAATGCGTTCTGTTATCGTTTCCATACGTGGAGATCTTCGAAAACGCAGTCTACAAACGTTATTCATTCATAAAGTGTGGAAAATTCCTGTCAAAAACCATCTGCAAAGCATTCATTGAAAATCAGTTTTAAGTAGATAATTAATCATATTATGATTAAAAAAGAGGATGTCTTAGACATTTGGATCTAAACACGGAATATTTTCCGCAATTTCACAATTCCTGTTAAGCTGAATCAAACATTGTTTTATTGAGCCAAACTTAAGTTATTTAATGTAATGTCTCCTTGTTGAATCAAAATGCCATTTGGATTTTTTGCAGTGTTAAGGGCCCTCCAAATTACTTATACGACAGATTGTTGGGCAAGATTTTTTTTAGTAGTTTCCTTTGCCTTGGCTTAATTCCCAAGCATTATATATCGTCACACTCCCATTCAGCCCCTCCTGATTGGTCAATATTACGTGTAGATAGGTTTCAAGCGCGATAATAAAAGCTATAATTTCAGGGCCAATTAAATATTGTAAATGCTCGAGACTAGAGCCATCCTTCTTTTCTCTCCATCTATCGGCCAGCCGTCGGGTACGCGCGTACCGCACCCCCCGCTTACTCATGCCCACTGCCCAATTACCCCATTCAGGAACTCGACAGGAACCAAGCTCATCCGTGTGAACCCCAGCTCATACCAAATAGTGGTAAAGCACACGCGTATATTAGGTTTATTCATATTTTCTTCCAAAACTAAAGCTAGTGAAGCCAATTCAAACAAACTATAAACAATAACTAAAAGTGTGGAGATAATTTTGGTCAGTTCGCCTAAAACAGCTGGTACAATCGTGTTGCATTCTGTCGTATGAGGTTAAGTGATCAACCACCATCGAACCTCATTTTGTGAAAGCTCTTCTGCCCTATAATGCACTTCTTACAGTAGTTTTATCTAGTACTTTGATTAGGTCCGTTTGTAAGGTAACACATTAAAATGATCTATTTTGCTAAAAGTTAGATTTAAAAACACTTTTATTTTCGATAGTTTTACAATGAAATTATTTTGTGGTTAAATAGACGCAGCATCAAGTGCCTGCTTAAGAACGCTGCACCCATTGAAGAAGTGAGAAATTCCGCCCTTGCAAACGTCCATGAAATGCAACGTGTTATTAAAAACAATTTAATTTGATTTAGAACTTAAAAGCCAGTTACTGACACTAAGTAGTTTTTAAATGTAACTGGTAATAACCAAAGCATACACTGGAGTTGCAATATACTGTTTATGTCCTTTTGGGCCAAAAAAATATAGCAAAGAACAGTTATTATAGACCTTCCAAAGGACGCCAGTAGTTGTCAAGGCAGTAATGATCACATGTGATCTCAAATCCCACTCTAGCTGTTTTAAGAATTTTTTCCACTTTACTGAACGGTTTTGATCTTTGCGCCAAGAGAGTGCAATTAGGTTTATTTGCTACACTAATAAGATGTTTCGATAACTGTTTCTAGAGCTTAATGGAATATACCATAGAAGCAATATGTGGACCCAAGTGCCTCCTGTTGATATTATGGGCTACTGTTTAGTTGCATGGACTGATGACAGAACCAATGCCATCCCACTGTGTAGGCTATGAATGGTGCATAAAATCACCTTCCTTGCAATCGAGTGAACATTGTATATCAGAACAGTGCATGTAGTATGAAAGGGAATTCTGCAAAAGTTACGACTATGTGGCACTTATTAGTTCTATAGTCAATTTTCATTCCAATTTATTTGCCTGTTAAAATTTAATCTCCAAATCAGTTCAGAGAGGTCTGATTAAGGCAGAGATGGAAAACTAAAGTGCCAGTTGAGAGGCGCTTACTAGTGTGAAGCAATAAACCTTTACAAGGGAACTATAACTGAATAATATTTATGTGACAAGGTATTATCTATGGCACATTCGATGGCAAACCTACCAGTAAAACACGCTTTCGCCACCAATATTTCACACTTATGTGCCGGGAGTGCAGGCACATGAAAACTCTCTTTTTTATGTGAACATCTAGATATTGGTCACCAATTTTGAATACGAATAATGGATTTTTCATTTTTAAATGTTGAGTTCTTCGTAGTAGCAACTTCACTTTAATTTCAAGGGGAAAAAGTGTGCAACTTATACGAAATTCCAATGTTCCTCTTGAATTTGGAAATGCAAGTCGGAACACATTGGTAAACTTTGTATTCAAATACAAAAAGTAGTAAAGCAGATTTGTATTCAGTGAAGATGGAATTCTAATTTCAACCGTCTCCTACAAACTAACCAATCCCCGCCTCGCGCTCACCCCTCAAGGTCAAATAAATACGCAATATATGTCACGACCAATTACAGGCCCGCGTTAGAAAGAGTGTTTTATTTTCGGCGCTTGCGACACTCGCAACATTTGTCAGCACATTTGAAGGGCGGAACGTGCAAAATGCACAAGAGATCCCTTTTGCATTTACCTACTAATCAAAATGAGCGGCTCTACAAATTCACCATCCTCACCCCACACACCTTTCTACCACCAAATCACTCTGAAAGTCTTAAGGATGAAATGGCTGAGGATTTCGCCCAATTTCTCTGTGATCGGGTGTCCACTGTCCTTGGTGCAAGATCTTACACACCCCATCATGATGGAGAGGCCTTTTTGAATATGCACTTCAATGAGTTCGAGGAGAGGTTCTTACGACATTCAGACTACACTATTTTTATCACGTCTGGTCAAAACGCTGCATGTCTGGATCTCATCTACCCTCGAATGCTCGTTTTCCTCACTATTCGACCCACCTGGCGTGATCGTGGCATCGTGCTCTACGTTGGTCCACCAGTAGGGCAAAAGCTGTTCGATCCAGATCTTTTTGCCAACGAACCGCTCATCTTTCCGTTGAACAAGGAGGAGTGGAGTTCTCTTGAAAACCCATGGAATAAACTTGTGGGGACACTTCAGAGTAAGTAAATGTCCTTAATTGTTCCAGTTGTTACCAAAGCACGGATGACAAATGACATTCAACATTAGTACTCTACAGAAATGTAACATATGCAATAGTGCCTACCGCAAATGCCATTTAGTATAAAAATATAGCCACAAAAAGTCGTAAGTTTTTCAAAACGAGTTATTAGCTATAGGGCGGTGTCAAAGGTTTCAGAAAAAGATTACTTTTGAAAATAGTATGATTAAAAAGGTGTCATGATTCGGCAATTTTATTATTACCAGCTCAAACAGGCATTAAGGGAAAATTCAAGGTTTCGGTTATGTAGCGAAGACTGTTGATGCATTGTTAAGTACTCAAATGAAATACTGGACTGTTCTGTGTATAATAAAGCATTACGACAAGTATTTCATTAAGCACTTTCCAATTTGGGCATTTTTTCTTGTTATCTCCTGGTCGCTGCTACCTCAATCGGCAGGTGTATGCATTGATGGATGTTTTCTGGACCCATGAGTCAACCGTTCTTACTGTTTTTTGCACTTTCTTTTTAAAAAAGACCTATAAATTTTGTATCAGGGTACACTTCCATTATCAATGCTGTCAAAGCGAAAAAATGACTTACGTATAAACAATCAGATTTCGTATTTAACTACTTGGCCAAGGCAACGACTAACTATTAAGCCTGAGAGGAAAGTGGAGTGGCAAGCCCTGATAGGCTTTTGCAATCATGCTTTGTCTTAAAATTTATGAACTTACAATAAATTTAGACGAATTTGCAGGCGAAAATCCGCATTTGCCAAAAAAAGTTAAATAAGAATATTTCTTGAAGGTTATTGTTTGAATCAAATTCTTTAATCAAAATCGTTTCATCTCGAAAATAAGCATTTAACAAAGGACACTGCCAGGCTCTTTCTTAAAAAGTCATTATGATATTGCAGCTTATGATCCACAAACAAGCGGAGGGATGGGCTAGGAAAAACTTCAGGTTAATTTGAAGCCTTGATGGAAGAATGTAGTAAATCATGGAAATGTGAAAAATACTAGTTAGTCGAAGCCAAATTCTTTGTTTATGAAAAACTATTAAATGGTCCTTTTTTATTCATTAGCTTTTCAGCTGTTTCATGATTACAAATTTGACAGCGTAAATTTCATCGCATTCAGTGCGATTTCTCAAGTTAGTCACCCGTGCCTTTGCATAAATAAGGCTTTAGCTACCTAGGACAAAATAACCTGCTCTAAGTGTTAAGTTATAGAGATTTGTAACTAACGTTTCGGACATTTGTAGAAAATTCCTGTAATACATGCCGCAATATTTGATTGGGAATTTGGTACCGTAGGAAATAAAAGTAGAAGAATATTAGCAGATTTTGGGTAAATTACGGATTTATTTTCCTTCAAGTTTCAAAAATACTCCCTAAGTTAGCTCGAACTGATAAGATGTTGCAGATATCTGCATAAATGTTGACCGTTTCAAAACATTCGAATTTAATTTGTAAGCCTATTTTAAACCTTACCCGAAGGTTAAATTCTGATTGTGTAGAAAAACTGGAACAATTGTAAATGTGCTTTCGGAGTTGTGCTGCAAATTCGACTTATGCGTACTTATTCATGCGGAATTATTGCGCAACAAAAAGTGCGTACCTGCTTAGTGAGGTCAAAAACCCTAAATTTCACACCATTTGCGCGTGGCAATGGACATAGTCTGGCGAGAATTGCTCACCTTTCGACAAATTGAGAACATGTAGGTAATTTTTTGCTTCGAGTGTGACGGTTGATGTTGTGTTTGTTTGTTTAGTAAATCGCAGATAAAATCCCATAGATTTATCTAAATAGTGAGTTTAAAATATTATCGTACGACAGATACGCCAAATTAGTTCTACTTTTTTGATTCTCCAATATTGGTTGTAAGCAAGGCATTTACCTATTAAGTATAAGTAGCATGAGTTTAACTTCACCTCATTTAGTGCCTGTTAATGATATGTATTTCAGTAATAGCAGAAAACAAGCCCTGATATTGTTCTTTTGGGGCAATTCGATAAGCTACACCTGCTTAATAAATGCGCAGAAAATGAGCACTCTCGAAGTTCAGAACGTTCTTAGATTCATTTAGATATGACTGACCGAAGAAGCCAAAAATGATGCATGGGATGATGTGTATGGGATAGAAGAATAAATAATCTCGACCAGAAAGTCACATTGTTCTTCAAGAAGCTGCAATTTTATGATAGCTTAGCTTGGTTCTAAATGCATGTTTACTGAAATTTAAACAAAAAATAAATTAATTAGCAGTAAGCTTTTCGAAACTATTGTCATTATCGCCCTAAAGCTTGGTCCTACGAACTTGTCGTCGTCTATTTTTGGGGTGACATTACTTTTGCACCCTTAAAAAAATACTTCTTGATTAGTTTTTGAATTGCTAAGATTAGGTAGTTTTGGAGTAAATCTATTCTTCGACTTGGTTGTACTAGCAGTGTGGGTTAAAGAGTGCTAAGACCACTTTCTATAGCCAATTACTTCCTTTTTATGTTTCTTGTGGTCCCACTTTAAAGGGGTTAGACAGTATGTATACCCTGTTTATAGGCAAAATAATAAGACACAATCTTCTAAGTTTTCCTACTGTTCAATTCAACATATGCAAAAATTTAGAATCTTTGATCCTGCAATAGATTTGACAAGAGGTATGGCGAATGAATCGTATCTTTAGCAAATGACTCTTTTGACTTAATTTATTTAGCACTATTATAAGTGAGTTTTACAATGGACGTAAGTATCTACTTTACATTTCAATGGCCCATTTATTATACAATAGGAATGCGGAATAAGAGGAAGAATTTTGTGCCATAGTGCATTATTCTACTTTACTGAAAGCAATTGCGGGTTCTGCAATGAAAGGGTCATTTTTGCTTTAATGCTCTATCAAAAGTCATAAATTGGTTTGATGAGCGCGTAGATCAGCTAATCAGTATTGAAGTATGGACATTGTGCATAAGCAGCTTGACAAGTCTTTCGGTTTTAGAACTGCCATCGTATGACACCTGTGAGATAATGTCATGAATTACGATTTGCGTCTACTTTGCTTTATTGTTCGCATTTTGAGTAGAGCCTAGAATGCGAGAGACGACCTGGTCAAGTTGAAGCTTATTTGGTGGTGAAAGTAAGATTTCCTAATGTAAAACAATCTTAGTGGGCACAAGTAATATCGCCATTAACAAACATATTTGGAAAACTTGTCGACACAAATAAATCAAATCGCATAAACCAGGCATCAGCTTAGAAACAAAAGACATTTTTCACGATATTCATTTTTTTTAGCCAAAGTACCGTTAACTCCTGAATCAAAAAGATTAAAACCGTCAACAAAAAGACCACTAAGTAAAATGGCAAACGCAGAAGCCAATGAAAAATGGAAGGGTACAGAGTCAATGCATCTTAACCAATCAGAAGCCAAAGTAAAAGGACCAATCAAGAGTGAAGTTTGTGGCACACAATTATCGCGCAACGCAGCTGAGTCCATTCAGTCTTCCGAAAAGGGATTTTTTACACCACCTTTTACTCTTTCTCCATCCTTGATTCCCTTTCGATTTTCCTTTCGTCAAAAAGAACACAATTTGAGAGACCATCTGAGTTCTTCTCTTAATGAAATGTGCCTCTTCGGAAACCTAATTCGTTGCCAGAACAAGAAGTCCCATGCAAAGAAAGTAAAGCAACGACGATATTCAGATTCAGCTGTGAGTGAAGAGCAAAAACATGAAAACATTGACTATATCTGTTTCCCTAGTCGATACAAAACGAAAAAGAAAAAGCTGCTAATGACTGAACCAATATTAAACCATAGAACAGAACAAATAATTGTGAAAACACCCGAGGTGATTCGCGTCAGCATTTTAGAAATAAGTAATCCCCTCCAACCAAGGAAAACATTGCAGGCTCACTGTCTCCAAGTCAAGGATGGTGACGACTCTTTGGATAAAAGAATTTCCCCTAACAGCACCCTATCTTCTTCGCCATCTAAAAGAAAGACGAATACTTTAGGCAAATGTCGAAAGTCAAAGTTACGATGCGATTCGGGCATCGCAAGCAACTTTAGTTTCATCTCTACAGAGATCAGCTCTTCCTCCCCTAGCCTCTGTAATCACCAACATTCAATTTCTCTTGCAAAATCACCATCCACTTTCTTCTCTTCCTCTTCTCCATCCTGTTTGGACAGTCTCAAAATCGGTCAAAATCGATCTTGCATGCAAGAATGCAGTCCAGAAGCTTCCTCATTACATTCCACGCATTCACGATCGAGTACTGGAGAACAGCATATAGCTTTGGTAGAGGATTCCATAAAATTCGTAGACGATGAGGTTTCTGATAATGAAATCATCCACTCAGAGAGAAGAAGGATAGATAAAAGGGAAAGGTTCGTTAAGCCAGGAATGCCTCCATTAAAAAACCCGAATCCCCATGAGACTGTAACCAAGCTGAGTCAAAGCTACAGACCACGAATCATGAATCCCGACTCGAAGGCGTCTTCAGATTCAATCAAAGATCCAACTTTGACTGGGGGCTATGACGTTGAATGCCCAGAGGATTACCATTTGCACAGTGATATCAGTTTCTCTCGAAGTTGCAAAGAACAGGTAATTCAAGGAAGTGAAAAGTCTCAAGATATTCTAAACAAGGAAACCACACATTTTGACAAACGGAACTCACAGAAAAACTATCAGAAGTCATTGATGGAAAGTACGGATTTATGTAAAGTACGAAAATCCGAGCAAAAAATTTCCCGTGATACCATACTTTCACGTACTAACCAATTCGACGAACAAATTCCACAGGAACAATTTCCCGAAAAACTGACAGAAAGCATGGATCCAATGGTTAATGTAAACACATTTGAGTCTGAAAATTTCCGACTTATCGAAAAAAATTTACGGGAAGAATTTTCACAAAATCAAGGAGTTTTTGTTAATCAATTCGACTCCATTCAGAGAGTGCCGAATAATTCTGAAACTGAAGTAGCACAGGGGAATATGGAGGCCTTAATACACAAAGCATTAATCTCACCCATCAAAGCAGATGCTTTTGAAAGTTTGCCTGTCTCTTCGGGTCTGCAAATTCTCGCAAACGAAACCAATACCATCAGTAAACAAATGGACTTCGTAGACAAATATTTGCATCAACCGGAAATCATAAATAATCAGCTGCAGAAACAATCTGAAACCGTGACGGGGTCAACACAACCATCAATTATATTACTAGATGATCTGAACTCAGCCGTTAGAACAGAAGGCGATACAGACCATCCACCCGGATTAGACAAGGAAAGTTCTTTGCAGAGAAACAATGTGGACAATGATTCAAACAACCAGGCATCCACAACCGATGAAAAGAATTCAAAAATCCAATTGTCTGTCGATTCTGGCCTAGGGGATTCTAGCAAAATAGTCGAAGCATCAGTGTGTCCGCAAAATGACTTGGTCTTGACTGTTAGAGCAGAAAGCGTAGAAAGCAGTATCCTATCGGAAGAAAGTATAGCATTACCTATGAACAGATCTTTGGATAATGTCGCAAATCTGCTAATTTTGCATCATAAAGCTAATCCACGGTGTCAGGAAGGTCTTTTGCATGATCGGTGCATACAAACACATCAAAATGAGTCAACCACAATGAAAAAAACTTATTTTTTGGAATACCAACCAACCATAAGCCCAAATGAGGACAGGGCAGTCCTGTGTCAACAACTGCTTCCCGTAAATGAATCGGTGGGCCACGTCATGCCAGAGCATTTCGAAAAGGATGTCGACCAGTCAGATGCAAAACAAGGTATTTTAATCCAGCAAAAACTGATAAACTTTGAATCTTCTGCACCGGAAGAGCTAATTTTATCTGAAGAACTAGATTCTTCCAAAAACGATCGGTTAGAATCAGATGGCAAAAGAACCGATGTTTGTAGGCAAAGACATATTTCAGAAGAGGAATCGTGTACAAAACTAGAACGCCGCTCAATACTTTTAGATCAAAATTGTTCCGTCGATGTGTTTAACCGAGAAACCTGCGAGATAATTCGTGGAATGCTGAAGGATCCCATACCTGAAACCCTTTGGCTTGCTCGATGCGCTATTGAAACCTACGATCAGTATCCCAGCCTTGCAGATCCGGTAAGGTTTAGTCGATCTCATCGGCATGCGCGTACATTAAAAACCAACCTGTAATGAGTTATTAAACACTTTTTTAAATGTAGGTTTTGCAGTCAAGTGTCATTTGGTCGTTTGTGCATGTCTGGGGAATTAAACGTAGTCAGAAAACAAAAAGAAATTGCTTTAACAATATTAATCATTTATCCATCCTATTTGACTATTTGTGCCTGTAAAGCCGCAATGTCGATTAAAAAAGCCCCATTGTAACGTGGTATGTATTTAAAAGTCCATGGTTTTATTGTAATTCTTCTTGATCCATGATACCACGGTAGAAATCGATTAGACTATTAACAGGTTACGTATAGGTGACCCTACCGTGACCCTTATAAAATGTTTTATCTGCACCATTTAGGCTATGGCAAATTTCACACTCTGATATTTGTACACGTATATTTTGGCTTTCCCTTTTTCAATTATTTTATAGCCGAAAGTAGATTAACAAGAGTAAGGTGTTCATCCCCAACAATTGCTTCAAAATAAGCTATTCTAATTTTGTGGATTTCGATGATCGAGACAATTAACGAAAGAAAATTCACATTTTTATCGGATTTGAGTCTGCTCAGTTACTGTTCCTTCCGCTTATCGTAGCACTTCAATTTTAAAATTCTATCGCAAACCATGGGCGTTGTTATGAGGTAAGATAATTAATTTACAGACGTTATTCAATCCCACACTCACAGATAAATTCCAAAACTAGAATTTGGTTTAGTAGTAAAGATTTGCTCAAAGTCAAACTAGACGAATGCTAAATTTGCAATAATGGCATTTAGTCTCTTAAAAACATAACTTTTAATACAATGGGTTGAGTCTAGGTGCATCAATTGAATGCAAAATTTCTTTCCAGCCTGCGTCAGCTTTGCTTTCTTCCTGAGATCATTCTACATTGTCCGTTGTAATCAAAACATAGGTTTGATGTATTTTCTTTATCGAATCTTCAGATCTTTCCAACGACTGCCTCAGCTCTGGAATTGAAGTCGCCCGCTGCTGTAGTAAAACAGTCAACATATTTTCAAAGAATGTTTCCATATATTATCGTTGCCATCCTCAATCTGAGTAAGATATTTACCTTCAAATTAAATTTTTCTGTTTATTAAAAGGCTTCGTAGGCTACTATTTAAGCCGAACACAAAATATGGTTGATATAGCAACGGCAGCAGAAATATCACTATGCCCTTTTGTCTTGTTAAAGTGATTACATAACTACCAAAGCACATTTTAAGGAAGTAACATTGCAGACGTTTCTCTTACCAAATGTAATAGAACTCAAGAAGATAGTCTAGCAATTCCGCTTAACGCTGGTTCTAACATGCCTACCCGATATCATATCTTGAGTGAGGTAAATGAGAGATCACTAAAAGGCATATTTGGCTGCAAAACAAACGATTCTTTTGAAAAAGCAATGTTAGTTGATTAAATGAAAAGCAACTCTGCTCTATAACACAAATAAACTACTGAGTCAACGATGTGTACACCCATTAAGTTTGCCGACTTAATGTGTCCAAATAATTGTATTCAACAAGTTCCGTACTAAACAAGATAATTTCGGAATTTCGCATGAGACCTTATTGCCTGTGGATTGTGAGTCTGGAAAAAAACTGAATATTTACCTTAATACAAGCGCAAAATGTAGCACATGTGCTTCAGGTAAACCTACCTCGGTAACCACGGAATCACCCTTAGTATTCCGAGGAGAGTATGTTACAGTTTACTCAAGAATGAAATAAATGTTAAAATACGCGCAACTTAATGACCAGTTTTGACCACAGAAGTGAATAGTTATCCATAAAGATAGTACAGCATAATAGGTACGAAAAGTAAAATGACAAAACTTCAAGTACAAAAGCGAACGTGCTTATTTTCCATGGGCACTAAGTGTTGATCTGTAAAAATGACAGCTTGTCTATAGCTATTTAGCTTAGTAATTGTCACCCAATAACAAGCTGCATATTTCGTCATAAATTTGGCTAATATTTTTCGTTGTGTGTAATCCTAAAGTTAAGTCATGTACCAACAAAGTCTAAAGAGTTTTAGTTCAAAATATTAGTCGTAAGGCATGCGATAAATTTTTACATTTGCCCTTCAATAAAATTCCCAGGGTTTGGTGGATACTACAGAAGAAAATGTACAATTTTTCAAAATTAATAGTTATGATTCAAAGTCTTAAGCTCTTAATGGACCCTAAGGATCGTGTGCCTCTATAATCGGTGCCATGTCTCAATGATAACATAACGGACTTCCATGTATGCAGTCCAATTCTAGAAATTTTACCTTCCACAGTAGAGTTACGTTGTAATAATTAAAACAAGCTAAAATGTAGCACTCATTTTAGCTCCCTGAGTCTTCTTTGAAGTCGTTAAAAAAAATTATACGATAGAACACATGTTACTAGCGTAAGGAAGAAGTGAGAGGCCAGTCGCGTGCCCCCAATGCCATGCTTAAGAGTAAAAGTGGAATCTGTGGAAGCCTAAATACCCGCATAGTTCAGCACGCATTTAAAGAAATTATTAAGTCACCATGCTCATAAATAGAAAATGCGTGGAAAAGTCCAGTAAAACGTTAGCCACACCCGGTACTTAATTAACCTTGGAATGGAATCGAAATAGGATGTTTTCTTGTGGTCATGAAAGCTGGTTTAGGGTACTTTGATTGTACACAGCCTACAAAGGTGGATTCATTTTTCGGTTGTAATTAATTATAAGTTAAATAGACTGCCTTCAAACACTTTCACCATGCTTTCAAACTTGTTTGATTCTTTATTAATAACTTTCTTCGAAGATATTTCACAATTTTACCCACGAAATTGTAGAGGCATTGTTGTGCCAATCGCACATATCTCTAGTACCGACGGCACACGCTCACTTTCGTGCCTATGAAGGTGCATCTGAACCCTTGAATACATATTTAGTTTCATTTAAATAATTCTCTAGGTTAACTGACTTCTCCAAAGAGTTAACCGAGATTTTTGTTAACTAGTGCACAAAATCAAGGATCCAAATAGCTTCATGGTGCACTTTATGGACTGGTGGGAAAGCTTGGTGGGATCTTACCCTAAATTAATTTGTTTTCGCAAAACTACTTAGGAAGAATTACTTGTCGTAATAGTGATAAATGCGCCCCCACGCGACCTACTTTTGATAATATTCGGGACATCAGCCATTTTAATGCCTTTATCGCCTTATTAGGCAGTGCAATTGTGACCACTGTTACGGATTTGGAATATGAGGACTCGATGCGTAATCGACGAAGTAATTCACTCTTAAGTAAATCTACGTCACTAACAAATCAGTTCACAAATGAATTAAACCAACTTTTTTCCCGTGAGTGTCAGGCATTTGCTGCAAAAAAACCTCGAATGATTTTTGGTGGTTGTTGGGTGACGTCATGGTCTTCATGGTGCTATATTTTTGTCTTCAGTTTGAAATAATTCGTCAAAAAACCGCCAAAGGCTCAATGTTCTACGGTTATGCCAATAAATCATATGATTTAAGCTTGGTTTTTCACTAACTTGACCCTATTTGTCGCCTAATTCGGCAAGCAATAATACTTGCTCTTGATAAATTTATTCATAAACAAAAATTTTGGCTCCCCAAAGTCACTGGAATAGTTCCCTTCCCCTAGTAATTTATAAAGACTATGTCCAAAAAAATCGCCAGAGCAAAATATTCATTTGATTGCTTAATATGGGATTTCTGTCTTCAGGTACCGCATATATTCCACGCTATCTCACCACCATCTATGAGTACTCAATGGCTTCGCTAAATACTGGTAAGAAAGGACTTGTTTTTAATATCCATTATGAGCGCTTTATTCTCTAGACTGCACATAGTAAGAGTCACGCTTTGTTAACCGACCCATATGCAGTTGACATTAATCATGCAACCATACCTTTGATATTCACCCATTTAACAGAAAATAGATAGGCGTGCTAGGCAAGCGTTTCTTTTTGTTCCTTTTTACAACTATCAGTTTCAAAGTTTTACTTCTTGAAAATGCTGACAGTCTACAATATGGATGACCCCAATATGGTACAACCGCTCGAACGCAAGACAATTTTAACACACTTGGAAGTGAGGAACGTAGAATTTACCAATACGTGTCAAAAGTTTTCGTGTGAAGTTGTTACATGAAACCATACCTAATTTGGTTGTTATATATGGTTCTTCAAAAGAAAACAAGCCCTACAAATCATGAGATTCACAATTAAAATATGCATCCGTTTTCCCCACTAAAAATTTATTTAAAATTGGATTTTCTGTGAGGAGAATGCAGTCAATAATGTTAGCAAAAATACCTATTCAGTCAGCTTTCTAAAAGCCGCATTTTCAGCGATGTTCAGTTAAATCACTTGGAAATCTTCGTCCTGTATTTCGCTTGGCAGGATTAGTTGTTTTAACCGTTTTCTAGGTCTGCTCTCTAGATTTTGTCAACCGACAATTTGAGTCGCAATCCACCTTGAAATTTAGAAAATATCGCATTTTTCATATTCGAATTTGGCATGGAAATGTCAGAAGGGTATCGTCATTGGCCACTATTCATTCTCAGGCCATCACATAACAGAGGCTCGTCAAACAGTCGGTGTTACCCTTTTTCAGAACATTACACCCCTAATCTTTCCACAGTTATATTCACGGCTAAATAAACTTTTTTGGGCTTTTAAGGTTGGGAGTGTATATGCTACCTTGAAGGCCAAAAGAATTTAAGTAAAGACGCTGGATTTGATAAGACATCAAATGGTTATGGATTTTGCTTTTGTGATCGTAAATGTAGCCTAACTATGAATCTGAAAATGCTTCAGCTTCTTCACTTAATTAGGCGAAAAGATATTTTAGTGTTTAGAACACCTCCAAAAATAGAACTCTTCAGAAGATAAATGAAGGTAAGAGGCGAAGCCTATGCATGTCAGCTTTGTCTGTGATGCCATGAAACAGTGAAAGCATAATGTATTTTCGGAGGCAAGAACTTCACTCGACTGAAAGACCAAGTGCACACTTACATGAACAGGTTGTGTCTGTCTCACGCTGATGGTTCGGTTGACAACTCTATAACCAAAGCGCATATCTCGGCAGTCCTAAATTGCATTGTCTTCATAAACTGAACAAATACACGAAATTGGATTGATCATCTATCGCTTATCTAAAAACCTGCCATAAATAATCTCTGAGTGGTAATTTATTTTCAAGATATATTACCACGCCTGTTAATCTATAATCCTACGTTTAAGAATGAACTATGAGTGGGAAATTTTTGCCGTTTTTCATCAGATTACATGGCATGATGAGGGCTGAACGAATTTGCTTGATGCAAAATAGGTGCATGTATACATACATATATGTATGCCCACTTTTTATTTCACATTACCTTATCATAAAGGGAGATACTACAAATTTCGTTGCAAGGTATTCGTTAATCAAGTTCAGACATTAAAACACGCGTAAGAGTAATCGATGAATCGCGGTGAAATTTGTTTTTTTATTCTAAAAGTTGAAATTTGAATGGAAATAAACTTGTTTTATAAATGCTTGGAGCATCTCCTATGTTCCGTCAAAACCCAAGATAAATGAACATTTTATGGCCGCTAAAGATTGTTAATTTAATTCGTTTTATACTATTGAACGAAATTGTTGCATTAATCACAAGCAATACAATTTTCTGATTGTGACTAATTTTGATTATTCTATCTGACATTAACTATTTGAGTAACGTTGGTTTGTTCTGGCATATTCTTTTTGTTTATTAAAAGAGATACATTTGAACCTTAGCTCTTGAAATGTCAGTTGTTCGTTAATATCCTATGAACAGTGCGATTTCGCACTTACCTTTTACATTTAACCACCTAGGCCAGCAAAAGAAATAGTAGAATAGCTTGCTTTTAGTGGAAAAGCTTTAAATAATGGAAGGATGATACTTATTCCTGTTTCAGACTCATACAGAAAAACACTTGAAAAATTAAACAGTGCCACTGTGGAGAGCGAAAAAATAGGAAAATTTGGAAATAACTAAATCACTCAGCCTTACTCAAAGTGGTTGATTCATTTCTCTTGCAAGACTGACTACTGGCATTTTTTCATTCGCCTTTTGAGTGGGTGTAAGAAGGCGCGAAATGTCAACCACTCCATAGTTCCAGTTAAGCAACGTGAATTCTGGACTGGTTAGGAAAAGAAGGTGCCTTTATATAAGGTACAAACATAATTTTTCTCTAGGAACGTTCCTGTCTCCCTTCCAGTCAGTTTCATTCTCGACTCGCCTTTGTTGCCGAAAATGATTCTAGGGATGAACTGCTAGTTTCTTTTTCAGAAGAGGAAAATGGCTATAAATGTTTATCTTTAAATTTAATTTGGCGTATTCAAAACCATTTGAACTTTATTGAGGGAAAATATTGCTTATTTATTTAAATTCCACCTGTTTAATTGCAACTCCTAAAGCTTTTTCCTTGAATGTTGCGATTTTGTAATGTAAACCATCCACTTTGACTAATTGGTTACGCATCAGTTTGTTTCGTCCCCATCATCATGTTTTCGCTGTTCAAATTTTAACGATACATTGTTTGAAAATAAGAGTGGGTACCAGCTTAATTTTTTCGGAGCTTTGTTACGTGGATGTAACTTTTCTCGCCTAAGTGCTATCTCATAAAGGAGAATTGGGTAGGTGCGTAGCACATGAATTTAGTTTACTGCATGCCTACAACCAGATACTCGGGCTGGGGTTGATTTTTCTCAAATAGATCTCTTGACTGACGTATAACCAATCTCAATGGAGGGTTGTCTTTCTTCATGAATTATGCTAGTACCTAACGTTAAGTCACAGGCTTGCACAATAGCCCCGCTGTGAATCAATCGCATCTCAGTCTTTTCAGAATTGCACAAATGAGGCCTTTTTAAGTCTGCACGTTGTTTGAGTACTATGATGGCAGTCCTTCATTTTGATTGCTATCGCATGGTATTTTCTCCACATGTTTGGCAAATGGATGATCACGCTGAATTTTGCCTTAAAACAACGGGAAATAACGAATTCGTCTCTTATGCAAAATATGTGCGACGCAAGGATAAAGTACACTAATTAAAAGGAAACCTTTCCAAAATCGGCAGTTGTATTCTTGGGGACTCTAAAATTATGCTTCTTATGAATTTTTACATGAATTGACTATGGCATTTAGATCACATTCACGTGTTACTTCTAATGGTATCTTTATTTTACGTCTACTATGTTAATTTAGAAGGGATTATGCTCTCATACTTGGAATTTGTCCAAAATCACCTTACTGTTAGGTTTTGTCATTGTAAGTTTGCAAAATTTTAGTTGTCTAAGGCACCGCTCATACAAAGGACACTATCATTTCGTATGATTTTTAAACTATCTCTCTTCACGTATTTGGACCGGCTTTTTGATAACCTTTACCGAAATGTCTATTGATACCGTGTTCAAGAGATTAAAGGAAATAAAATTAGGTGTTAGGTAAATCTGCTTAAGTTTATAGGGATAAAAGAATATTTCTTGCAAAGTAGTGGTTGCACACCAGATTATTAGGCAACTTGTGCAATTGCACAAAGGAGGCCATCAGCTACACCTGTTCAGGAATAACGATGTTGAAAACCGCCCACTCAAAAATTAGCAATTTAGAGAAAGCTTTTGATAAGTACACGTCTAACCATAAAACAGTTTTACTGCATGTCTTCGTTTGTACTTATTAAATTATTAACATTTCATCCCTAAGCTCAAAACAGAAATAGCGTGAATCGATCATAACCGTAGAAAAGAGAATAACATTTTATTGCATACAATGGATTTACCGTTCATTTTCGCTTGAAATGTATGAATTTTAAGGGCTGGTTGCTATCAAAAGATACTGATGCAAAAGACGAAACGACATATCCAAAAGCCCTAAACTATAGCAAATTTTGGACTGGGCTTTATGTTACGTGTTAGTGAAGCACATCCAAAAGGTTCGCTAGGGTGGATTTATGCAGAAACTCAGCAAAATTCATTACACTAGCAAATTTTGAATAATGGCTCAACTTTCTAACTTCTTCGAAAACCGTAATCTAATTTGAACAACTAATGCAAGGGGAATGGAAAATACTCCAAAGTATCCTTGCGAAACGGTTGGTAGACAAAGCTTCCTTGATAATTTTAAAAGAATCAATCAGTGGGGTGTTATTTTTAAGGACTTTAAATGTGACACAATTCCTAAATCTATGCCGGGATTTATAAGAGAGTATTGTTGCTTATTTGAGCGTAGTTAGAAAAGGTTCAGTTCATTCAAAATCATTATCCGTAAGCAGACAATTCATTCATTTCAGAATTCCAATTTTTGTGCAAAATTTGCTAATTTTGTATTGGAGGAATATGCAGCAGTATTTTGATTCTGCTAAATATTAGCTGTTTGGCATAAAGTATTTGACATTAGTTTATGATAATAAGTGGTTTGCTAATCCAAAACTTCTGCCAAAAAGAATTCAAACCATAGGTAGGTTGAACAACTAAAATCGAAATAAACTATTGGGGAAAAATGTTAATATTGCTTCATCTTTTGGATTTAAAGGCGCGTCCACATTCTTGGAAGAAGTTTTGTTTAATATGGAATTATTGAGGAAAATTATTCACCCACTATTCAGTCATCACACATTATTTTTTGAATGATTTAGAGTTAAGCAACCGTAACCATTTCTAAGACTTACACTTGTGAAATGATTTTTTGTGTTTAGAGCATCCAGACATCCGCTTACGAAAGTTGACATCAACAATCCAAGGGGCCTTTCTAAATCATCCATTGGGTGTGCCCTTCCTGTTGGCGGGCACGACCCTGTTATCACCATGGGTGGTGCGCCAATTCCCCCTCACCCTCTTGGCGATCTGTGGGGCCGCTCCCGATACTCTGCGTCGCCTCTTTGCCCAGCCCGGCGCCTTTCTATCGGAGCACTTCGCCGACCTCTCCGAGGTTTTCCACGTCGCACCCACCTGGACGATTTTTGCTGCCATCGGCGGTCGCGGTGTACATTGGCGACTCGTTCGGCCCCCTTGAAGGAGCTACTGAGGGTTCCTCATCCCTCTAAACACTAATTTGTAAAAAAATAGCCCTCCGCCCACTTCCCTTTTCATATTAATCCCGATCCCGCTTATAGATAGCCGAGACCTTCGTTTCGACTTCGATTTCGACCAAGGTGGAACAACGGCCTTGTAACCCCAAACTTTCGACTCAATTTATCTAATACATATGCAGCATTTAAATTGAAGCTATATTCCAAAGAGCAAGACATTAAATTAAAGTTTTCAGGTGGTAGATTACATGATAACAGTACGTCAACGCTTCTCACCTTTTACTAAAACTCTTCTAAATTCTTTCCATTTTCAAACCTTTGGACCTACTTATAAAATCTGATTTTTGATACTGACGATCACATAATTTTTTGCGAGGAAGCAATAGACTTAAACTGTCGATGCAATCCTCCTACACCTTAGATGCGACGGGTACGTTTTAGATAAAAATGACATAGTATCCTTTATTCCCTAAATCAAGTTAGTTATGCCGTAAATGTAGAAGTGTAATGCCATAAGCCCTCGCTAAAATTAAACTTATGGGTAATGCTAGATTTGCTAGTCGTGTTAATTTCCTTTAAGCATTTAAATGATTATATTAAGTTTGCAACAGTGATAAACAACAACCAGAATAGACCTACAGCTTTTCTATCGGAATGTCATATTCAGTTAATCAAACAACGGCTTACCATATAGCAAGTTTGTCTGTCATACCATTTGTAAGGAATAGTGAAAATCTACGGTGGGACCGTTAACAAGAATAGCTAAATTGGATAAGCCGTCCCGCCAGAGTTATACACATGTTATTAGTAACTCCAGCAATGTGGGCGGGTGTTATCCCAGTAACCAACATCACGTTCTCGTAAAAGCAATTACGTCAAGTCAACAAACGTTCCCCTCCGATCAGATGGAAGGGAATTTCCAATGCCTCATGCAGATTAAAAGTTTCTGTGCAAAGTTTGTAACTATTTGTTCGAAAAAGAGTTCAAATCCCTCAGTTCGATACCTTGTTTAGCTTGTTGACTAAAAACTGAAACCACTGTGAAAGCCTAGGTTATTATGTAGTAGTTAAAAGTCCATTTACTAATGCTGATCATTGCATACGAACGTTTTTAAGAAATGCAAGCTTGTAAGCTGGTCAGAATCATCAATTTATTCTTACTAGTTGTCCAAAATGCTTAACATGCAAAACAGGAAAATTGCTCTTAATTCCATAAAGTACTTCGAAACATCCAATTAATTTGACGTCATCTTATACAAGCGTCCGAACAAAAATGCATTTGTCTCCTTTATCGACAGTCTCAATGTTTTTTTTTTTTGCTAATTTTGAGAAATTTGTGCATAAACTATCAAGGATTGTAGTGGTTAGATATTTTGTGTGGATATATTTTAAAGTATGCGCCCAACGCGGGCTCCCGAGTTGTAGCTTTGCTCTGCAATATCGCTTTCACGCTAATTTAGTCGGAACTTAATTCTTCGACAAGTTATTACCATGCACTTTCTATAGTATTGTGGTTTCTTATGACGTCGGGAGGAAGTGGCGGCTCGAGCCCGCAGAATAGTACGTTCAGCTTAAATTGATATCTTGAAGGTATTCAAGAATTCGTAATGGAACCTTTGACAAGAAATAACAGCATTTTTCAAAACTAAAGTCTGAATTTAAAAAGAAATTAAGCTGCATTGCAGACTAATGTGTAAAATTAGGTACTGTAAGTAGTTCAAACGCCAATAAATAAGTTCGATCAATGTCCGTTTTCCTCGAGCAAAAAGCAAAAAAACTAAAGATAATAAAGGTTTTACCTCTAGTCCTGTAAAACAAGTAAGATATGCACCAGTATGCATTAGTTAAGATGTTTCATCAGAAAATAACTCAAAAGCTTCTGCCCTATGAATTACTCCTGTATGGCGCTAAGAATACTAAAAATCTTTAATATTTCAGTTTTATTGTACCCTTATAAAAATGCAAGGTTTTTGGCTTTAGACATCTGTTTGTTTAAATTTGTTTTGTAAGTTTTATTTTTTCGAACGTCTGTACTTCTTATTCTTTGGTTATTTCCCCGTAGGTTGATTAGCGCCGTCAATCGGAGTTCGACCCCCTTTCCTGTTTGAGTCACGGATATGCCTTTGAGTTTTGGTAGGTTTTAAATAGCGTCGACTCCCACTTTTAGACAAATTATATCCCGCCGTCCCATACGTTGAACGAGGCAAGCATGTGATAATTGGAGCTCATCCGAAAGGGGGATTTATCGTTTATCCAAATAAGAAAAATGTCATTATTCGCGATCTTTCCGTATGTTCTTTTTTTCGGCTATTTTTAGCCTAAAATGGATAATGACATGTACACAGGTCATAGTTTTGACGTCCAGTGTGCCAAATACTCTCCTAGCGGGTTCTATGTAGCATCAGGAGGCAAGTTCCTTTTAAAAAAAATAGGTGATTGCATTTTAGATAAATCAGGAAAGCTTCACATTTGGGATACAACGCAGAAGGAGCATATACTTAAGAATGAATTCTCTGTTCTGGCCTGCATCAACGATGTCTGCTGGTCGAGTGATAATCAGCGAATAGCAGTGGGTGGCGCGGGTGGAGAGAAGTAAACTTTGTGTTTTTTTTGCAGTATTTTCTAGGTTCGGTAAGGTAATCAACGCCGAAATAGGTACCGAGGTTGGCGAAGTTGTCGGAATGTCAAAAGTCATCAACTCTCTTGACTTCAAACCTACCCGGCCCTTCCGTTTGGTCACTGGCAGTGAAGATTTCACTGCTTGTTACTTTGAGGGCCCTCCTTTCAAGTTCGTGAGAAGCTTGAAGGTAATACTTCTCCACGACAGCGCTTTAATAAAGACAGACATCGTTCCTTATTGTTCGCGTGCAATCCTTGGTTGCAAAGTACTGAAAACTGCTTTTTTTATTGAGAAAGTTTGCCCACTAGCATCGTAGTGTACCTTGATTCCGTCATTGTCTGCCCTGTCATTGTTTGTTGAAACATTACAGGCTCCGTAATTTTTCTTCACAGTGTCAATAAATGTGGGTGTTAATCACTGCTTTCTGAAGAATACACCTTATTGTGTAATTGTGTTTCCTACAGGACCACACCAACTTTGTCCAATGCTGCAAATTCTCGCCTAAGGGTGACATCTTCGTGACAGGAGGTTCAGACGGAAAGGTACTTTTATCCCTTTTTCCTCCCTTTGCTAAAACTCCGTAGATGTTCGTCTACGATGCCGCTTCTGGTGACTGGATTTGTGAGTTGGGGTCACCCGCTCACAAAGGAGGTATCTATGGGCTGGATTTCTCTCCCTCTGGTGCACGACTCATTTCCGTGTCTGCTGACAAGAAAATCAAACTCTGGAGTGCAGAGAAACCCTATGATCTTCTCTATGAATACGCTTTTGAGGATAAATTAGACAATATGCAGGTGAGGAGCATTTGCAATTCTGCTACACCTCTCTGAGGTCCCATTTGCAATGTGCTACTGTTTTCTTTTAGTTGGGCTGTGTTTGGACTGTAGGAAAGATTGTCTCCCTCAGTTTGGGCGGAGCTATGACCTACTTCGACGTCGCTGATGACTGTTCCAGATTGGAGGCTCCAGCGGGCACAATGTTTGGTCACTCTCGTCCTATCCAGCGCGCTTGCTACTCCACCACGAGTGAGCAACTCATCACTGCGTCGTACGATGGTCTCATGGTTCGCTGGAACCTGGTGACAGGTTTGGCCGAGCCCTTTGAAGGCAAGGAAGCCCACAAATCGGCCATCCACGGTGTGGTTACTTGCGGTGATCGCGTCCTTTCTGCTGGTGTCGATGACCGTGTTGTTTTCAGTTCGCTCTCCAACCGCGCCTACGAGTAGGTTTTTTTGTTAAATTTAGCCTCGAAAATGGCTTTTTTATATGTTTGTGTGTGGTTTTGACTCCTGACCTCGAAATGGCTCTGAATTCGTCCACGCATGGTGTCTTTTGGCGTTCATGAGCTCCTGTGAAATTCTCCGCTTTTTTATTGGCTGACAATTGACCAATCAGTGCGATGTCCCAAATATGGTCGTGGTCGACCCTGCAGTGTTTGTGTATCGTAACCTTATTTAATAGCATAATTTACGACCTACAGATGCGAAAAAATGAGTAAATTTGATCTTATCACTTGATTCCAACATCATCAAAATCTGTGACTTATCAAATTGGACCTTGATGTGCGAGCACGGGTGCTCGTTCCTTCAGCAGATCATTGCCCTCCTTTTGGGAGTTAAATGTTTGCAATTTCCCATCGACTTCTGTTTTCCAAGCATTTATAATTTTTTTGTCATTTACTTCAGTGCGTAGACTCTTCCTAATTGCATATTTAAATGTGACATTTCGCAATTCATCTTTGCGAGATCACATTGAAAGAAAGGCTAACCGTCTTACCAGTGTTTTCATTACGTTTAGTTTATTTCTTTTTTAGTTTATTTATTTTCCAGTTTATTTAGTATTTGCACATTTTTCGGTAGCTTTTTCATTCCCCATATTTCACCACAATAAATCGGAGAGTTTTAACGTTTTCATCTTTTTGTTTTCCTATGTGTATAATGAGGAAGTTCCTTTGCGTTTTTCGCATTAAATTACATCATCCTCATCACTTCAATGCTTCTCCTACTTAGACAATCCGTAAAGGTGTCCTCCCAACCACGTGGCCTTTGTCTGGCAGCCAACAATGAACTGGTGGTCGTCATCTGCATGAAACACCTCTACACTTTCTCATTGGCTGTCGAGGCATCTACGTCGACCTTGGCAACCCTCGAACTCAGCCCCGATGCCACCACTGGATGCATAACTGCGGACGGGAATCTCGTCGCTGTTGGCAAGGCGGTAGGTAGCCTTACATACATGCGTCAACGTGAACTCTCATCGGCCCTTACTGTAAATGTACAAACCAACGGTCAAATTTGTGGATCGCTCATTCTCCGCGCATTTCGTTTCAGTCTCAGAAGGAAGAGGAAGAGTTTCGCCTTATATGGGTACAGACGCAGCCAGTGGTGGGATGTGGTTTTGTATTCAAATTGCGACGCGGTGACATTTTTTTGCAAAAAGTTTGTTGACATCATTTCAAGCAGGTTGATCGCCTTTTACTAAATACGCCCGCTTACCAAATTTTTTATGAGTTGAAGCTGTTTGATTCGTACTATGCGGCCTATGCATTGATGGCATCCGGTACTCTTTGTGGATGAAATGCCTCTCCCAATAATGCGGGAACGTGGTAGAAAGAGTTCACTTGGCAAGCTAGTGAAATCGTTCGCATTGGTCTGTCCAATTAGGTGACTAGTGAATGCACCTTCCTGAATTATGAAATACTCTGTTTCTACTCAAGAACTACTTGATTTAATTTTTGCGTTATGATTATGAGAAAATTCTGCTGCCGCTCATCATTCTATTCTGCAACTGTGGGGGTCAATACAACTGATATGCTGAAAATCATTTTAAGTTCACAAACCAAGGAAATTTGTTTTTATTTAGCGTGAATATATCTAGCTCAGACGAAATATTGATGTCAAATGTTGATTTCCTTGTTAAGTGTATCCTCCTTTGCATTGGTGAAAAATAATCTACCCTGGTATCTGTGTCCTTTTTTACCCGTTCGCGTCACTCGCGCCCCTCTACCAAAAGTACATATGGATTATGTACACCTGCCAGATAGTTCCTAGGCTATGAAATGGACAGAATGAGATTTTCTCATAGCGAGTTCCAGTTGACAAAACGTCCATAGGATTACACCAATTGTTAGTATTAACGTGTCAGTTCTTGTTGGCAGTGTTATACGGCTTTTTCTCTGAAGTCTGTGAAAATTGTATTATACTGATCAAATGTTTTGTCACTTCCTGCTTAGCGCAATAACTGTTTATAACATCTTTCTTTCAGTTTTAAAACCATGGAAAATATTTTGGTTCCGCTTTTTTTTTTGGGGGGGGGGTTCGTTTATGCTTTTGAAAATATGTTTATAATTTGAAAATCGATTATTGACCATTGCCATGGTAGCTAATGCGCTTGGATTTGCTGTTGGAATAATTAACCTGACCTCAACGGCAAAGTGCTAGTCGGTTCCAGAAAATAAACCAATCTAGATCATCTCTCATCCATTCCCACGGTCTTGCAATTTTGAGATAAAGTAATAGTAAAACCGACTACAACCGTTTACTCCTGGCTTTTAATACACCGTGCAAATGCAGTAGAATTATGTGGCCATACTGGTATTACCCCTTAAATTTGTGATAGTTCTCTTGCTTTCATGCTTTAAATTTGCAGACAATCACTCGATGCCCTTTTTCTGGTGTTTTATGGTTCTCAACTCGGGTATTGGTCCTCTATTCATTGTTTTTTTTGCAGCATTTACACACTGTGCTAAAACAGTCATAGTAAGGAAAGTTAAAATGCTAGCGCTAATAGGGTAGGATGTCTTTAGCACCCACTCCATTTTTGTCGACTCTTTCATAGAGTTAAACTTGTTCCTTAAACAAGCTTGTGTTTTATGTCTTGGATTTATGGTTTTTGACATGTGGTAAATAATCTATTTGTGAAACTAAACAAATGATGCGCATAGCCTCGGAACCAGAAGAAATCCATCTCAAGTAAGGAAAAGTAAAGGGACGCATGCCAAAAACCTTTTTTGTAAACAGAGACGGCCACTGGCGCACTGAGTGCTGTTGGCCGTCCAGGTGGGTGTGGACGCCAGCATTTTCCTTGTGTGCATGCGGTGTCGATGAGGCACTCTCAGTGCCTTTGGAGCAGAATAAAATAATTCGTCACTTTTCAAGTCTTTATGATATTCGAGACCTTAATGATATTTTATGGAATACAGATTATTTTCTTTTATCGATATTAATGTGTGCTGACAGGATTTTCCTCAGTCTGGTATTTGGTAATAATAGCTCTAAAATTCCGAAAATTTTATGAAAAAGTTAGTCCTTACAAGAGACAAAACTATTACACTCAAAGCAAGCCACTTTTAGCGAAAATGATTGGCTGATGCTATTTGGCATATTTCCTGGTAGTATGGGGTACCTCACTTTGTCTTACTGACATTTATTCGATAAAATCGAGCTTTCGAGGAGTTTTTTTAGACGATGAGACAAATGACGGTCAACCACAACTTCCCAGTGGTGGCTCAAGGGGTCCCTCTTGAATATGCTTTATTGCATCACTTCGTTCAGAACTAGGCTTTTGGGTCATTGAAGAGAGGATGAGCATTCGTAATTGATCTAAAGCTCGGTAACATAAAATTGTATCCACCCTTTGATGTGCTTCGTTTTCAAATGAAGATTTATGCGGCCTTCAAAGGGGCGGTGCCAGAGATGCTCTTTATTCTACTGTTATGTGATTGCGCGAAAAGCTAGCTTCGTCTCAACGCTTTTTAGGACAGAGGAACTACTTTTTCATGATTTCTCGCACTTCAATGATTAATGGATTTCCATTTTTGTTTTATTGCGTTTTATTGATTCGAATCTCAATAATTACCACCTTATCTACTCTTAATAATGCAGTTACATATTACGTAAGATTGATATGAGCGAAATTTGCTTCGCTATTTTTTACGTTTCGGCGAGAATCAGACCTGTGTGAAGCTGTTTTAGAAAAATAAAGTGGATGAGGCTTCTACATATATCTGTGATTTGTCAAAGATCCACCATGCATATGCTCCATGCTACTAGTTTTTCTCAGTTTGTATAAGTAGACGAACACATTTTTTAAAAATTTAAATTCTAAACATTTCTGAATGACGAGTTGAAATTTCATACACTCTCCCAAGATGGCGTAGTGCGATTTAATTCACCTTTCTGTGTTTCACCTCGCTTACTAGGACGGCTGCGTAGAACTCTTCGTAGTTTCGGAGGCCGGGAGGACCCTGAAAGCGTCGACGGGAGGAGAGAAGGTGACCGGTGAATGCACCACTATGGCCTTTTCCCCAGATGGCGTCCACCTCGCTGTGGGTGACGCCGATCGGTACTTGCGTTTATTTAAGGTGAGCTTTTTGCCGTCTCACTCAAGCACATCAAGTGCTCCCGTTTTATCCCGTTTTTCTTCCATGTCATCTGTTCTTAGCCGAAACAATAGGCCCTTTGATATCACAGGTAATGACATATTAGTTTGATTCTAGAAAAATTCTGGATTATTTTCCTTTCACACCTCTCGTAACTTATCGACTGGAGAATAGATAGAATACGTTCATCTTTCCTTGTAACAGGAATGGAATATCGTTTACGGATTCGTTTATGTGGCTCCAAAATCATAAGTACTAGGACATTTGTCTACTTCAGAGCTTCTAATTTCCCTCGTAACAGGCTTGTTTAGGTAAAAATACCTATGCTTTTGTAAATAACTTCATCTTTTGCAAAAGCAACTCTACATTCTCCAAATCTCTCGCTTTCTTAGAAAGGCTATTTTTAAGAATTTTCTTCCATAAGCTACCCCATGGATCCCTTTAATCTTGATGTAGTATCTGGCATCATCTTTTACGTCTGTGATACTTTATGGTTATGTCGTCTGTTTAAGATAAACAGTTCCTTTTTATAATTTTTGTAATGAGAATCTTTCATTTCCTCAAACAAATTTGCTAACGCTGTAGACTTTTCAGCAAATCGTAGCCTGGACTTGTTTCTATAAATAGGTGGTGATTTCGCAGCGCCATCCATGTGTTCTCGATTGTCAACTTCAACTCTAGCTTCGTGGCTCCTGTGAACTTCATCCGTACATCAGCATAGGCATGTTATATGAATTGCGCCAAGAACTTGATATGTAATTTTCCGTAAATTCAATATTTTTATCTTAGCTTAAGTTAGAGGACTTTAATTCATTTACCAATTACCATCCACTTTTTACTGCCGTTTTCGTGAATCGCTGGACTTCGGCCTTATGATTTTTATTCTGGCAAACGAAAGGTCCCATTTTTTTACTCCTCACATCTACCTTGGGTTAAAGGGAATTTTGAGGCGCATCGAGTGTTTTTAAAAGTGGCTTATGTTGAAAAAATCTGTATTTCAATGGCATTTTCAACCACCTCAATTAATACCACCTTTAAGGTGTTTAAATAATGGTTTGATAAACCGCAATCCCTCATTATCCTAAATTGAAATAATTCTCAGATCTGTCATCTTTTTCTCCTTCGAACGACTTCGATAGATGCCCACAATGCGCATATTTAAGGCGATTAGAATAGGAGATCGGTTAGTCTCTATTTGTCACTAGATTTGCCGCTCCTTTTCCTCAAAATACCGACTATATTAATGCTGGTTGAGTAATTGGGTGAGACTTATATGCATCGCCTTGAATGAAACTACGTTTTCATGAGAGTGTAAATTTTCTTGTGATGTTCAAGTTACCCCTTAATGCGTAACCTCCGAAGCCATCAGACTAAGATATTAAAGAAGAGCGCGATGCTAGTGGTGTGAGCAACATTATAAGAGCCACGCGAATCAGATATGGAGGCAGTAGCGCAGTAAATGGAGTTGACGTAAGATGTTGTGTGCCTTCATCCCAAATTGAACAATTAGTTTTCTTCCTTACTTTGGCCTCCTGATCCGTAAACCTTAGCGTCTTCAGAGACAATCTGAGTGTACTGTAACTATCAAATTCACTTGATAGAGGTTAATCATTTCAATCCAAGCAGTTCCGCTCGTGAGTCTTGATAGGAATCCTATGCCTGTGAAACGCATCCAAAAATCATTTATGAATCATATATGAGATATGGGTGAAGTTCTGCAGCAACCACGATGCGGTAAGGGTGAAATCACCAGTATTGTTTAGTTATGTTAAACGACGCCTACCATCATTGACATCACCGTCCTTTTCTCCTCAGATCGAGGCCATGGCGAAAGGCAGTCCAAAGCTGACACAGCTCCGGGACTGGCGCGAGCACGCGGCGCGCGTCACTTGTGTGGCATGGGCGCCGGACGGACGGCACTTTGCCACCGGCGGACTCGACTGCACCATCATGGTCTTCAGTCCCACTGCCTCCTCCAAGGTCTGCGAAGTCCGCAGTAGGTTTTTGTTTAGATTCAGTCGCATTTTAGTTCTGCTTTTGGCTGATTTCTTAGTCGACAAGTTATCAGCGAATTGAATGGTTTGGGTCGGTTGGATAGCGATCTGTGCTGTGACTGCAGCCGACTGAAATAGCCCTTAAAACACTTTTTATTATAAACAGATGCGCCTACATAATTTTGCTCTGCCTTCCATGTTCATCATATGTTTCACTCTTCTGTGCTCTCATTGTGTAGATGCTCACCCAGGCAGTTTGATTACTGCGTTGGTATGGAAATCGAACAACGATCTCATCAGCACGGGACATGATGCCTGCGTGAGGACGTGGAAATTTAACTGAATTTGAATTTTTCCTCTTCTAAAGGATTCTTTGAAGTTGGGTTTGTAATACCTTCCGGGATAGGTGATTTCCCTCATCAGCTAATTCTTGTTCGAACATGGC